CTCATTCCAGGATCCGTGAACAAGCGAGAATGGAAAACGGTATTTGTCACATGTCTCACATACACTCGCAATCAAAATCGACGCGCGTAGTCCATTCCGTTTACAACGTGAACACATGCATATGAAGTATCGGCTTAAGTTCCCTCGCGTGATTTTGCGCGATCTAATTTATCATTTAGCATATATATATATATATATATATATATAAATATATGCTAAATGATAAATTTAGATCGCGCAAAATCACGCGAGGGAACTTAAGCCGATACTTCATATGCATGTGTTCACGTTGTAAACGGAATGGACTACGCGCGTCGATTTTGATTGCGAGTGTATGTGAGACATGTGACAAATACCGTTTTCCATTCTCGCTTGTTCACGGATCCTGGAATGAGTGACTCGAGAGACACTGAAATTTTATCGTCGTACTGTTACTATACCGCAATTCTAAAGATTCTCATTAGACAGCTATAGCGACGAATAGATCACTCTGTGACGAAAGAATAAAAGTTATTAATAAAGGAAAGAAGTTACACTACGTGCTTGATGATTGCGTACTTTTAATCAACCATCTCCAGCGGATAGAATCTCGTGAATAACGTAAATAACATATTTTTGTAATACTTCTGATGGTTTTAACGCTTGTTAGTTACTGAATATTAGTAAACACGCGCCACGGCCTCCGCGCATATTCGTATTTATTTTAGTTCGCAGTCCGAGATAATCGAGGACATTTATTACGCGTTCGCTGTTTGTACATCTCTGTTTAGTAAACACGTTGTTTTTAATGTCATTGTGCAAATGTTTATTTGAAGTTTGTTTTTTGCAATCATTGAACTGTTTCAAATTCATCATAATGAATTCGTTACCGCATTCTTCCGTTTCTTGCTTTCCGCTTGTATTGTTCCTATCACTTGTTTCCGTAACTTCCGATAATGCCCAGAATTTTTCGCTACCCCTCAATTTGCATGTTTCCCCTTCGATCGCTCCTGTATTTTCGTTTTGCGTTGCTCGATAAGATTCGAGTACACCGTTCCTGGCATGTTTAAGAAGAAAGAAAGGATGCGGATGATTCTGCGAATTTACGGATTTTTTTAATCGACTACGTATCAGAAGGCTTCTCCGGATCTCGTACAGCTGCCCGAAATCACGTGGTGGGGAGCAATTTGATCTATTGATCAATAAACATCTCGTGTCGGCTTCTCTGTCATCGATTAGCGAACGTTTGATTTTACGTATCCTTCCACGGTATTCTTCTGCCGCGGAGACTCGGAAAAAATTCGCGTCGCAAGCATCGCGTTTTTCCGCGCCACCGTAAGTCCCTCGACTCGGGTTGGAAGGACGATGCAAAGTACCAGCGGGTGGATCGTGATCTTTTGAGATCAATTCGGATCGATCGTGCGCCGGGGCGGCTTCCTTTCAGGATATCAATTTTCCAACTGTCACGTAATATCGCATCCGAGCTGAGCAACCTTCCGTTCAATGCGATTATTTTATTGATAAAGGTGACCAGACGGTTGCCGATAAGAGAAAATATCTCTGAAATAAAGCTGCTGTCGTATTCCACATCATCCTTGTAAAAAGTACCCGACGAATCTTTCCTGACATCGTTGCAGCGAAATAAACATTCAGTAGCCGCCATTCCCGCATTCGTTATGGGATTCGGACAAGCTCCCACGTCGTTTCCGCTTTTTTTACTATCTGCGTGCAAAATTTAGATTAGGCTTATTTTCATATTCGATATCTCCGAGGAAACTAATATGAGTTTTATAATTATGTTTCGACGCAATCTAATTTAAATTATATAATCGCAAACTCAATAAAATGTAAAAAACAGCAGCAAGAGTTTTGTTTTAACGCCAGCGGAAAGGCTAAAATTTTAACGAAAATTTGCATTATAATCTTTGAAAGGCCGCTATTTTTTCAATTTTCAGTTTTTAATATTGTTTGTAGTTCGATTGATGCACCAACTCATATAAATTAAACCAATTTTTTGTTTTTATGCTTTAGATCAATCAATGGCTCTCAGTCGCTTCACTGGGTATAGCCGGCGATAACAAGAAATACCATCATAATCTACAAAAGTCAATAAACATTTATAAGAAAAGTTGCATCTTAATTGCTTCAATATTTTTTTTTGTAATTCTTGAAAACGACTTTTTTCCGACCCAGCAAGATAGGAGACCCCTTTAATCCAAGATAAATCGATGAAATCACCTGCCATGGATTCGCGCTTCAACGGCGGGAATGCGTTCGCTCTTAACGCGATGGGCGTCTCGTTATCCTCTTTGAGAGCGTCGGCTGCTATTTGGCGTTGACGATCAAGGACGCAGAGCTTCGGGAGATCCGATCCCTCTGGCAATGCATTCTTCGCATGATCTCTTTCTGTAATGTCGCGCGCAACGGTATGCCCCAGAAAATTGTCCGTCGAGCTGTATTCACGTAATTTTTCAATATCCGGCCGGGCGATGTTCGTCCACTTGTTGCCGTTTTCTCATCGATTTTTCGCTTCCTTTGACATTCACGGTTTCTGTCGTGCACAATGTCCGTGAGAAACGAGACAATATGAAACCTGCGCTATTTCCGCTCCCCGCTAATTGACGGTTTATTCGCGCTCTGCCTCGTCGTTTCACTGACCGATGATGACGGCTAAGTCACGCCGCTTTCATCCTTCGATCCTTCTTCCGTCTTTTCATCCTCGCCTCCTTTCTTCCTCCGTTTCAGTGTAATGTGCAACGACGAGGTGTACGTCACGTCGGACGGTGACGCTCGCTCTGTTTCCGGTGCGCTTAAAATTCGATCTTCGTCCACGACGACCTCAGCAGCACCTTTCGCCTCTTCCTGCGCGACCGGCGAGAAACTTCGCGTGCTCTCGGCCGCCACGTTTTCTTCCTCAATAGCCTCTTCCATTTCCTCTCCTGAAATCGTCATTTCGACTGCCGCTTGTTTCTCAGACCGTCGCAGATCCGCCGATCTCCCGGATCCCTCTCGATCCGTTACTCGGCCGGCGATCGCATCTGACGACTTACGAACGTTAAGGGTAATCGTATCGCTGCTCCCCGATTCCACTAACGTCCTCGCCGGCTCGTAGCCGACGTTGATGTAGGCTTTGGTCGCCCAGCGTTTCACGTCACCCTCGCGGTACGGAGTTCCCTCGTGCGACACAGTTCCCCGCTGTTCTTTTCGCGCGATGACGACGTTCACGCGGCTGCCCGACGTCAGTCTCGCCGAGGACACGTCCTCCCGCATTTCCCCCTCGACCTTCTCACGTCCCACCGTCGTCTCGTCCATCTTCCCGACGGCTATCCTCGCTCGGAGTTTTTTTTTAGCTCCGTCGACGTTCTCCTCCGACCCGGTCTTGTCGGAGATCTCCGTGGCGGTTGATCGCTCCGTCGCGGATCCACCACCGTCGCCTGTACTCTTTTCGACGCGCGTGTCCTGAGTTTTCGTCAGCGTAGTCTGGCTGGCAGTTGTTGTCGCGAGATTGCTGGTTGAGCACGGCTTCAGCAACAGCCGCTTGGGACTTCGTGGTTTCGCGATGAACGGATCGGGCGACGGATCCGGCGGCAATGAGCTGTACAGCCTCTTCGACTCGGCGAGTCTCCCCGCGTCGCGGAGATCGGAGAATTGCTGCACGATGCGCGCCGACAACGTCGGCGCCGGCAGCATCGCGCACCGCCTGCGCTCGAACTCGGCCTCCACCTGACGTAGCTTGCTCTGCACGTTGCACAGCCGACTCTCCGCGATCACACGCTGCGAACGGTAGGGTGCGAAATTCACGTTTACCTGCTCGTCACACTCCTTCTGCCGCAGCGCCGACAGGAGGTCCCGCAGCTCGGCGTCGGACCTCAGCGCGAGCACCGTAGGATCGATGGGCTCGGCCTCCACCTTGGCGACCGGGAGCGAGAGAGACGCACTTTGTAAGTCGAAGGCGCACCCTGTTGAACATTCCCAGGTGGACTTTCACGGAAATCCACAGGAACTCATGCGAGAATCCGTATAGGATGATAACAATCCATATAGGGTCCACATATGGTGGTGGAAAGGTTTATATATTATAGGAACCCACGTAGATTCCTAATAGGATTTGGATTTCTAATCACCATGGGTAACCACGAGATCCCGAGATGGATTTCCTGTGTGGATTTCCACCTGGTGATTTTCAACGGGGTGTGCGTGAGGATCGTATATAATTTATCTAATAAGAGTGTGATCGGGCAAACTTCTGCTTGAAAAGCGTTACATCGGAAAGTTTTGAACGAACAAATCTCAGTCACTGTCTGTCTTTCGCGGCGGTGGTTGAATGATTTACTAATATAAAAGCGTTATAGGATTGATTGAGTACTACGCACGTGATTATTTTTATTTTTTTATAATAAATGACTCGAAGGTTATATTGGCGCTCTTATTAGACAGCTCCTGTTAGACTATCAAAAAGGCACGAGAGAAACGTAAAATCGTTTTACACATCATTACCTCCATCCCGACTCCCTGAGTCTCCATCAGTCTCCGGTTGACGAGACCCTCGACCTGCGCCTTCAGCAGATTCATCTTCAGCTGCACCAGTGTGAGGATCGGTATGACGTTGGCCGGCGGATTGGCCGTCATGTGCAGGTTGATCAACGCGTTCACTTGCTGGGCGTTCCTCGACTCCGACAGCAACTGATCCTTCGTCAAGGTGTTTATCGTCTTCTGCGCTCTCGCCATCGTGTCCTCCATCGTGGTGGTCACGTTCGAGCCGGGGATTTTGCGCAGCACCAGTCGCGTAGCGGCGCATGCTATGATACCCTGCATCGACAGGAATTGGGAAGCCAACGCCTGAAGGTGTAACGAGGACGGGCAGTTCCTCCTCGAGCAGATGGTGTCGTCGGTGGTCGGCGTGCAATGATGCTCATCCTGATCGGCGTCGTAACTGCAAGTACCGACGCGTCTAGCCTCCGAGAGCGAGTCAACGTCCCTTCTTCGACAGCAACCGCAATTCGGCGTCGCCTCCCTGGCGCGAGTAAACTGATCGCAAAAAGGAAACGGTATGGGATAAGGGTAAAAAGGTGGCGGGGGATAACAGGCGGCCGGGTAAGTTAATCCGCCCGGTGGATACGCTGTTGTCGGCGGGGACGTCATCGACTGAGACGGAGTGAACGTGGACGGCGGCTGCGGCGGCGGCTGCGGCTGCTGCTGAGGTGCCGGTGGCGATTGCTGACAGTTGCCCGGCAGGATGAAGACGGGCGTTGCGTTATTGACGCATGCACGAATCTGATCCAAAATATTCAGTGGTAGCTGGGTACAGCTGGGATAACTCGGCGGTGACGAAGGGTTGCAAGGGCTTTGGAAGACGGGCTGGCACGGATTCGTTATTGGTTGCCCACCCGGTGTACATTGGTGTGTTACTATATAGGTGTCCGGCCGGTAAACGCGGCTGGAGGGTCCTTACATAGGTAGGAGAGAAGTCAGAATCAAGCAAACAAACGCGTCTGACGGTCATGTGGAAAGTGCTCGTTTCTTGCCATGAGAAATAACTGTTGGATGTTTTATAAACAGAATATTTTACTCGAGAGTATGAATAAATATTTACACATGCGGATATTTGTTGGATTTAAATGTATGCCTTTAGATAAAACAACGGGGATGGAAAAAGAGAAAGATAGATAGATAGATAAATAGAAAAATAAATAAATGGAGAGAAAGAAAGACAGAGGGGGAGAGAGAGAGAGAGAGGGGGGGAGGGTACGTTTATAGTTCGATAAACGCTTCGTCATGGATGAATATAGTTCAAGTTGAAATTATTCGCTGCTTAATTTAACGTTTGATTCATACGTTCGACTTTGTACCTTGAGAAACTCCGAAACATGGACCGCATGCTGCAGTTTGCATTTGCTGAGTATTAGTTTGCCGTTGTTGACATGTCGGAAAATTATATTGACTCGTCTGCACGGGTACGTTCTGACAGGGCGTGACCTGTGACATCGAGGCCACGTTACAGGGTAAATTAATCATCGATAACGGAGGGGGGAGGGTTAGATCATTGATTCGCTTTAGTGAATTTAGATTCCGGTTGCAGCTGCTCGGCCCATTTATTCTCCACGGTGATCAATAATGCATTATTCCGCTCGGTATAAGTTGACTCGCAGTATAAGAAAATTGCATTACTTGAAAATTTGGATTTGAGATGTGAATAATGGAAATGTCAGGCACGGAGTGGTGTTCCGTGCTCCTATAGTGGCTTCGTTAGGATTTGAAGTTGCAGCAACGCGTTAAAACATTTTGTCGCGCTATCGATTATTTATATCGTTGTTTGGCAGAATCTGTCGATGTGGTAAATATAATTGTGCAGCGTCACAGTCGGTCACAGGACGGTTGCAAGTTTCTTTCTTACTTCTTCTTACATACTTCACAACATACGAAAAATACGATGAAGCAAATCTATGATTCACGAATATGCGCAATAGATGGCCAGACAGTTGCCAAAATTAAATATGTATATATCAAAATTACATATGTGTATGTAATTTTGACAGCTGCCTGACTATCTGCTGCGCATGTTCGTAAATCACCGTTCGCTTCGTCGTATTTTTTATGTGCGTTTCGAAACATAAAAAAATTATTGCAACCGTCCTATGACTGAAATAAGCGAAAGCAGAACTTTTAATATCATTTATTATTATATTATTTATTATTACCGGACTTACGATAATAATAGGAAATAAAAAAGTAATCAACCTTGCAGACCTTTCCTAAATGCATTTATTTGATATCCAAATATGTTCTCTTACAATTATTAATGAAAGTTATATACATACTTTTTTTTCATTTCTCTTTATTTAATACATTCAATTAATAACTTAGTAATTTATAATATAAAGAATTATTTCTGTCACAATTTACTCCAATACCAACTTATCTCACATATGGGGCTAGTTGTTACAAATGTCGTCGTCTAATATTTCTTATTGGGTAAAAAACAAATTATACTGTAAATTAAAAAAATATTTTTATGTAGTATAAGCATATGTCTGTTGAAAAGTTCTGTTGCGATGCTTATCCCGTTTATAAGTTGCTCGTAAAAAAATGTTTAAAAAAGTGTAACAACCAGCTCCGGTCTCGCCTACGTATATATTTGTCGATTCTGTTATCTTTAATTCCATGCTTTTAAACCACTTGCCGTGGGAACTTTTCATAGAAAACGTCTTACGTCCTCGTCTTTGAAGCCTCAAGTTTTCTGCGAGAGAAAATTTTTCTGCCACCGGTTAAAGAGGAGTCCAACGCTCACGCGTCAACCGGCAGCAATAAATCCGTTTAGTTACACAGATCCGATTAGAGTAAGTAATTTCTTTAACGAGGCTGATCTAACGTAATTTAAAGTTACCTTTCTCACGGTCGATATCTTTTTCCGGATTAAATGCCGATGAAAATATACTTAACTGCGAAGAAGAGAGAGACGGGCTACGACTCTAATCGGTTCGTCACGTCTCGGCGTAAACTTGTTTGTGACGTCGTTAAAAGCCAATGAAAGCCCTCTTCTTTATCTCGAGAGTGGGAGATACGGCGTGCGCTATGATTCTCCACGCAGAGCATCGTTCATTACGTGCAGCTGGCCCCTCGTAACGCGGACGACGCTAAATAGGAGCTCGTGGTAAATACTGTGGTATCGTGACTGCCATTACGCGCGTGTGACCTTTCAACGACATATTCGACGAGTGATAACGTATAACAGATAATGGCGAGCTTGGTGAATAACTTAGTGAGGAGAAAACGCTTCGCGATCTCGCGATTTGTGCCATTTGCATTCTAAGAGGAGGGAGAGAGTAATTAGAGTTCGTTACTATTGAGAATCGTCGACGCCGACGCTCAAAGTTTTCGTCCGAAATTCGCTCCAGAATCTCGACGGAACGTCCGTACCTTTTCCGTCTCTCTGTACAGTTATCCGCACACCATATGTTCGACCGAGCATCGTTCGTCCACGCGATTCTTTGATTCCCACTTCCAAAGCTAACGACATGGTTGATAAATGAAATTCCTTTTTCATCCCTCAATTATCGCCCCATCGCCCGTTGAGACTCGTTGCATTTTCGTGACGATAAACATTATTAACGCGCGGCACTCGTCGCGACAACGTTATTATTAGAATGAGTACGCGTATGCACCCGCGTAAAATAAAAAAAAAAAGAGAAGAGGCGAAAAAAAGAAAAATCCCTCATAATTCTCGACTTTCCGGCTTTAAGCACGCTCGCCAGTGCCGGTGTCCTTAATTGCTGCCGTGTTTTATTACAGCGATATTATTTTCCCTTTCGCCATGGCCGACCCAGATACCCGCGCGGCGCATGGTCCGCAGCAGCGGAACGTCGACTTCATAAGGGAGGAACTGATACCGGAGATGGTCCACAAGCGTTGTTTCTGCGAGCCCGGCTCCAGAGAATTCATCGAGTTCGATTCCGCCGACGTGGAGCCGTTCGATCTGGGGGTCGACTACAGAACGAGCACGTTCCACGAACTGTACCGTGTGACGGCGCGCGTGAAATTCTCCGGCGAGACGTGCAGCTTCTCTCTCATTGTCAAGCTGCCGAAAAATTCCACCGGCTATCCGTCCGGCTCGTCTCAGAACGAGGATATATTCTACACGGAGATGACACCCTACTACGGCACGGACGGCGTGCCGAAGTGTTACCTGTCCGACTTGGGTCGATACGGCCGGCCGGTCGTGGTGTTGGAGGATCTCGGCGCGCGAGGTTACGTGCGAACGGATCGTAAATTGGACGAGGATCACCTGAAATTGTGCGTTAAAACTCTGGCGACGTTTCACGGCAAGGGGCTGAAGCTGAAGGCGGAGGAGTTTGACATCTTCCGGGAGTTCTATGCGAAACTATCCGACGCGTGCTTCGATTCCATCGTGCGGTGCCGCCGAAACGCCGCTAGGTAAACGGCTCGCTTTGTACCTTATTAAAGATAACGAAACTAATCGTAATCACACAGACACACACATATACGTAACATACACATACGCTCGAGATACCGGCGAGCGAGCGATGTATAAAGTATCGTCAATCTGCTTCGTTGCTTGCAGGGTACTGGACGTCTTGAAATTGTTACCGGAGCCGGCACTCGTCGAGAAAATCAGAGGAAAACTGAGCGAGAGCCCGTTGGACGTAATGGAAAGTCTGACAACGGAGATCAACGACGTCTCGACCGTCTGCCACGGTCGTTTCTCGCGGGATAACGTGTTGTTCAGATACGAGAGCGGGAAGCCGTGCGACGTAAAGGTGATCGATTGGCAAACAATGAGGTACTGCTCGCCAGCGATCGATTTGGGCCTCGTTCTCCTCGCCAACCTGCCCGACGACGATGAACTAGCAAAAGCTGGGCCATTCTGTCGGGATATTTTGCGGCTCTATTTAGACACCGTGAAGCTCGAGTATTCACAGGTGGCACGCGACCTCTTGGAACGAGATATTATCGTCAAATTGCTGTTTGCGTACATCGTCTTGTGCACCGACGAGACCATCGCGGACGACGAATTGCTGGCGATGTTGCGTGTACTCTGTGATCTGGGTACTTTCAATTAGAACCGTACCGTGGGTGGTATCTATTTGACCTTTTTCTATTCTACACATGGAGAAAAAATAATCCGCTGGCGCGGCGAATTTTATGCAGTACTTATTATTATGCGAACAGAACGATTTGTCAAGAGTATTAATCGCTAATCGCTGGACATATTTTGTTGTGAGAGCAAATTAGTAAATGTAGGAAAACTATTTTGTACTAACAGCAAATTAACGTGTCCCAAAGACAAATTCATAAAACGTTCTATCTTGACCATAAATATGCTTCTGTTGTAATTGCATTAATAAAAACGATTCGCTAATTTGATTGTACCAACTGAATTTTATCGTCGACGTAACGAGTATGCAGTAGCGCAACGATGGTTTCATTACATCAAAATTATTTTTCTCCGTGCACGTCATGCGACACATTTATCGCACGCGTTGAATTTCCCTTCTATTTTCGTCGCGCGCGCCGATACGACGACGCACGCTGAAGGGAGAATAATCATCGGCAGATTTGAACGAGGCATATTTCAAAAGTCGCATCGCGTTGACGTGTCGTACGATACAAAGAAACACTACGCATTCTCCGTGCTCGAACTCTTAGGGTATAAATTATTATTACTTAACTCGCTTGAGTCTTGCAACTTTTATTTCAACAAGTGGGAGAATTGTTGTTCGCGATTGTCAAGGAGCACGAACTAACCGCGCCGTAACAGACGTTATTAGTATTGTTCTCTCGTGCATAATGGCATAAATTAACGTCGCAGTGTGTACAACGTTATAAAAGCTTCGTTTCCTCTCTTCGTCTAGGCGTTTCCTTTTAGATAGCTCATTACATTTATACGGTTGAGATTGGTTCGTTCCTTTTTTTCCTTTTTTTAACGAGACACATGTACCGTGCACTGCAGCTGCTGCTGCTACCGCTGCTGCGATATATAGCGCCGCTGTTACACGATGAAATGCAGTATGGCTTTGCTGCTTGGAAATGCAACTCCATATTGTTACTTCGGATTACGTTGCTCTCGACGCTGATTACCTAGTTTTATATTTTTAGATTTATATTCGCGCGCGCGACGTCTATTCTCTCCTGTTATATGTATAATCTGCGTTATGAATTTCTCAAAATCCCTGTTAGGATAATTGCGAGATATAGAATATGGGCTTTCAGAATAAATGACTATGTAAAGAAACACGTCGGTATAGAGAGAGAGAGAGAGAAATGGAGAGAGAAGGGAACAGGAAGAGAGAAACATTTTTGTTGAAACAGCGTTTTAGATGACAATTATATTTTTAAATTACTTGTGATTAAACTTGCAAATAATTCGTAATCGTCAGCGTAATTAAATTGTGCACAATCACAACCTGATTAAAGGAAAAAACGATATTTTCAAATTGATACACAATTATTAATTTAAAGATATCATTATTTCTGTTCAATATTTATTCCTCTCAACTCGTGACAATTATTCTTGAATAACAAAAATATTTTTCACACTACTATGTAGTACTTCTTCGTGTAAGCAAGTTTTATATCTTCATATAAGATTGCATATTCTTGCTTAATATGAAAATATGAGTCTTGAATTGACACTAATTGTTTTTCCATGCTAAAGAAACCACAACGATTGGGCGTGCCTCCCCTTGCGTAATTCTCTGTCTCGAAATTATCCTGTACATTTTGTTCGTCAGGAAAATTATAGAATTATCTAACAATGTTACCGTGCGCTTCCGTTCACTCCGGCGCGATATTTCTAGAAGATTGCGGTTGAATTCTCATTGGACGTGAGGGATTCGCTCGCCGGTGTGGTAAGGATACCCAATATATAACGACCAGTAAAAAGATCAGGATGAAGGCAGAAATGAACATCCGTCTTACTCCACAAGTGGACTTCACTGCGGCCGTTATGATGGGAGCGCATGCCGACAGGACTTCCTTTGATGCAGCACATTCCTGCACTCCCGTCGGTGCATCTTGGCTGCCGTTGCACTGGCAATGCGTCTTCGTCGTTGCCCACCCCATTCGGAATTTGGTAATTTGGACAGTTTCGGTGCCGAAAAATGTGCCGGATTAAAAATTGGAATTGATGCCGGATTAGGTCGGATCAGTCTGTCCCGGACATGTCAGCGGACGACAGCAGATCGTCCGACTTTCCACGTAGATCGTTAATCGATTATACATGTATATTCGATAAACAAGTTCGAAACTCACTTCAGCGGATAACTGTATTACAAGTTCAACGAAAGGGGAATCCTTTAAATGCACAATACATTGATCCGGCTTAACTTTGTCGGATTAACGGTGAAAAATACATAAAGTATCTTCATGACAAAATTCGAGTCTGGATTCCGTAATGAAAAATGGAAGAATTGGATGGCGGATCTCCATAATCTGCCAATTCGGGCTGCACGACAGTCACGTCCCCGAGTTCCCGGGCGTCGTAGCGCGCGACCCGTGCAATTTTCCGTTTTGCCGTCGGTCGATCTATTTTATTAATGAGCCGGTGTGAACGAACAAATACAAATGAGACTATTCCCATGCGCGATGTTACCGCGGCGTCAGGTGAATATATTTGGAGGTGGCCGCCCAGAGCGGCGCGCAGAGAGATTCGCGACGGTTCGGAGAATCGTCCGTTGCAGAAACGGATAGAGTCAGAAGTTGGGAATTATGTACATAGTTGACGACCCCCTCACGGCTTTGGCGTTTGTCTATCTCGGCGCTACGGTACAGATGTTTGCGGCATGTTGATCGCGGTCCAGGCGCATATACGTATAGAACATACCGGGCGCTTCTTACGCAGGCATAATGCATTCGACTGCGTTTATGTTCTCGCCTGAACAACTTGCCAGGCATACCGACGCTTCAGTTTCACAACCGCTGAATTTAGGATCGTTTGCTTAGCCGCCACTGGTAAACGAACTATGCGCGACGCATTCATCTTTATCACTGTTGTCTCTCTCTTTCTCTCGCCATCTCCCCGTTTTTAAAATTAGGGTAAACCGGGGTAATGGCGGTCACCTGAGCGGATATTTTCATCAAACTGGTAAGAAATGTCGAATTCAGGATTTGCTTAATGGATACCTTCTAATATTTACTGTAATGCAGGCTGATAAAAAAATTTCCATAAAAATATGCACCAGAGAGACAATTGAAAAAGCGAAAAATGAGATTTAAACCGGGATTATCTCGATCTCAGAGTAATGTCGGTCAACGATGTTTACAGTGTATAAAATCAGAGAAAATACATATTTTACTGAAAATTGAATATATTTATTAATTTGGCGTAAATAAACGTACCGATTTACCACGCTTCTTTAACAACGATCCTTACGATCAGAAAACGACAAAACAAACTTTTCGCAATAGTTCAGTCGTAAACAACATTAAGATAGCGGTATTTTGTCTGATGCTTCCTTCGGCCTTCTACAGAGGACGGACACTTACAGAATTCAATTCCTACTGACCACAATCGAAATATAGAGGTGACCAGCATTGCCCACCGACCGGTATCACCCTATTCAATTCCTCTACATTTTTTTGCCGAAATTGTACCTAGATTAGTGTAACAATAGATTTTCCAGCGAAATCGCAGAATCGGTGCGATAACGGTCCGAATTTAATACCGATCCTAAAATAAAATTGTATCTCGCGCGCGATTTTGCGCCAATGTAATTTTAAACTGTTCTATTTGGGCAGTAACAAACCGAAACTAGATCGTTACTTTATATATGAGAGAAAAAAATTTTTTCGGGAATGATAAAAGATGCAACGCGATTGTTTTGCAATTATGCTACATTCTTGTTTAAGTAGCCCCAAATTTGTCGTCCGGAAGAGTGGGATTAGCTGGCGAGAAAAGACAAACACGTACCGTGCAAACGTGTTCTTGCGTAACACACTGTTCCCTCGCAACGTTTTATTTTCAGAAGTCCCGAGCATTAAGGAGGCAGTAAAAACAGCCCGTAAGTAAAGACTCACTTAACGGCCGACAGTGACGTCCCGAGATTGGACCACCGACAACGTCGACGGCACGATCACGTCTATTCTTCTCATCTCGGCTTCCCTTAATTTCTGCGTGCAGGGCGCGAAAAGGTAAACGCGGCGCACCCTAACCTCCTCAGGAGAGTCGCGCGCGCTTCATAATGAAGCAGTCTCCGTGGGAGGTAGGCGTTTTAATATTGCAGATAGGTATTAACTTATGTCGAGCGGGTAAAAATTAGCATTTATGAAAATTTTATCAACGTATAAATTTCCGAAATTTTCGAGATAACCCACGGTTTTCGCCGACGCCAAACGCACACTCGGTGCAAAAACGCATGAAAATAATAAGAGCATCTCCCGCAAAACGCATCGACAGCTGAACATAACCCACGCTCGTCTGCATAGAGTCCGGCTGAAAATTTTACGGAATCGTTAATTCCGGAAGTCGCTTCCATCGAAATATTTCGAAATATATATGACCGACGGCACGAATGCGCGAGCGACCGGCAAAGTTATTATTCCGGCGAGGAATGCCGCTCGAAAAATTTCCAAACGTTCGCGCGTGTTTCTCACCCTTGGCCCACTAAATTTTTCACACTTGCATACCGGCATTATGCCCGGGCCCGGCATTCTTCGCGGTCGAATGCACTGACAGCGTGCTTGCGTGAGGGATGATCGTAGGCTTTACGACGGCCATGAATATTTCGATAGCACATCGTTTATCTCTTGTTTCGTCGTACATATGTAATGAATAAACCGCTATCAATAACGTATCGGTGAAAGTTAAAATAGCGAGACGTTGTAAAACCGTTGTAAATTCAATCGGACTCTTTATAATGTTTATTATGTAGTAAAATGTTAGCCAATGCCAAACTAAGGCTATAAAAAAGTAGATACTCACCATGCAAAATGAACAACTGGTTCCTTGTTGAAGTATCTGTTACCTTTAAGAAACTAAATAATATTGAATCTAAAAGAACATTAAAAAGAATTCCAAATTATCTATCTTAGAAGATTTATACGTGAATCGGTCAATATCCATAAAAATTACAGACAAAACTAGAATCGTTCCGTTTAAATCAATATTCGTCGTTTTAAGCTGATATTTAGATAGTTATAAAATAGCTTTTTGATACTTTCCGATTTAACGAGGTACTAGCCGAGGTTCGTATCTTTCAAACAGATTTATTTCTTACTCTTTTGATATATTCATAACTTAAAGATTAAAATTATCATATTGAAAAAAATGCTTTCGTCCAAGTAATTTACTTGAGATTCAAGTAAAATAATTATGTAAAATAATTAAGAAGTATTACATAATTCTAGTAAGTACTCTTTTAA